GAAGGACGGCTACCTCTTGGTTCAGTGACAGTCATATTGTTACAGAGAAGACTCTGTATGTCGCTGAGCACCGTTCTCACTTTTGAACTGACGTTATATACCTCATTAACCTACCTCAATTAGCACATGATTCGATATACCAAACAGATGAATACCTCACTCTCGTTGCTGCTTATCTTGTAAACTGAGCCTGTGTTTTGGTAAAGCTGCTGCAGATGGCTTCATTTCCAGACTCAGACCTGCAGACGTGCCCACTCTGCAAGGAGCTGTGCGGTTCCTCTGCTCCCATCTCCTCCAGCTCGTCTACCTCTTCCTCCTCCTCTCATACCTCCTCTTCCTCCAGCCAGACCACCAGGAGACTGCACGTCCTGCCCTGCCTTCATGCGTTCTGCAGGCAGTGCCTGGAGGGCCAGCGTAGTCCTGGGGACCCGTTGAAGCTGCGCTGCCCCACTTGTGACCAGAAGGTGTCTATCTCTGAAGCCGGCGTGGACTCCCTGCCTTCTTCCAACTTCCTGTTCAGCAACCTTCTGGACGTCGTGGTGAGCTCAGAGGAGCAGATCCAGAACAAGAATGGCCACCATCATCTTCGGGGAGGCCTAGTTGGAGGTTCCTCTGGCTTCCATCATCCTCATGGAGGCCTCCTGCATTCCCACCACCTGGGCGAGCCCCAGTGCAGCTCGTGTGACGAGGAGAACCCGGCCACCTCCCACTGCCTTGACTGCCAGGAGTATCTCTGTGATAATTGTGTGCGGGCACACCAGCGGGTGCGACTGACCAAGGACCACTTCATCGAGCAACTGGGAGAGAGCCTCCACCTCGGCCGGGTCAATGCCAACAGCAATCCAGGTCAGCCAGGGGTGTCTGTGTCCCTCGCCCAGTCCCTGCAGAACAACTTCGCCCTGCTGTCACTGTTCCAGGATCGCATGAGCTTCTGCCAGCACCATGACAATGAGGTGAGTAAAGTTCTCATTTTTTAAGATGCCTGACATGCACACTCCTATGGTGTAATAGCATTATGTGTGTATTCTCAAACCATACTGGGGGCCATATGGCCCTGGGTTCAAAGGAAGCTGAGTGGCTCTTCACCTAGTTCCCCAGAGACTAACGGGCACGTGTGCTTAGCTGGATTTACACACACACACACAGTCCTCACACACACACATACACACTCTCACAGACGTGCAGTCTGGTTAATCTGTACCACACCATCCATTCGGGGCATCGGGAGGCCCATGTAGTAACTGCACACATGTTTTTATGACTATTGTAATTCCTTTCCAAGGACAAGATACGGAGTTGTAGTTTGTTTGTGATAGCGGGGCGGACAAGGACACTGGTGATCAGATAAAAGCTATGCTACAAATATCTGCTGGTTTCATGTATGATCACACATGAAGTGGTGGCCTAGTGGTAAAGGAAGCGGACTTCGGTCCGGAAGGCCCCAGGTTCGAATCCACCAACTGCCAGGTTACCACTGAGATGCACTGAGCATGGCATCGTCCTCAAGCACTGCTCCCCGAATATTTTAATGCAATCTTCTTGGGCTAGTCGTATGTGATAACCTTTAGTTAGAGCTGTAACTCACATTAGCTTAATTTCCTGAACAGAAATGCTAACACTTTAGTAATAAGGTGGACAGCAGTGTCTGTACAAATTGTCAACAGTTTTCACATAGATTCAAACACTTGCGTTATAGTTTTTTAAAAAAAAAAATCAAGGCAACAACACGTTCATTTAAATTTCCGTATTTTCTTTGCTTCACTGGCAGTGGGTTCTGTGACTCGCAAATTTATTTTCATTGTTCCAAGAGAACAGCTGATTTGTTGTTATATTAGCAAAATGGTATTCTGACGCAAAACGTGCAGGTGTGGTTCCACCCACCACTGTGTTTAGGACGCAAACATTTTATTCAGATTTAAAATAAAACTATATATTTTTAGTTTGTCATTAAATCATTTGTTTATAAAGAAATGATTTGGTCAGTGTTAAATGATTCATGTGTAAAGTATTGCTTACCATGCTGTGGTCAATATTAATTACTTTGTGATGTTGGGTTTTGAGTTAGCTCAACAAGTTGCTTTAATTAACATTATAGCTTAAAATACACTGAGTAAAAGTAAAATTGTTAC